AAACAAAATTACCTTTAGCCCTAAGGGATCATCTAAAAAGCTAAACCATGTCTTTGGAGCCACACTATCTTCTATATAATATAGCTCTTTAAAACTGTAATGATGTGGCTTCTTGTCTTTTATTTCACAGATATATAAGGCAGAAATAAGGGGAAAAGGCATTATGTTTGTGTATAAACATATACTAGTATGTATTACATATGTAATGTTTAATGTATGTGCTTGTATGCATCTATGTCAAACTTTAACATCAAATATGTCCTAAAATAAGAATAACTATAAAACAGGATTTCAAGCTTTAGTTTTTTAAGAGGTAGAAGAACCTTATAAAGTATCTAGCTAGGGTCTATAGAAAGGAAAGAATGTGTCCAATTTCATACAACAAACTAGTGTTAAATTCAGGACTAGAACCTAGGTCTATGAACTCTGTTTATACTTAAAAATTAGGGGATAAATTGATGATTCACAGTAACAAGTTAGAGCACTTCAATGGTATTTGACTCTACTAAACTAATCTCTTTCAACTGGATAAGCTCTGAGAGTCCTAAACCTCCACTACTTCTGAGCCTTGATTTCCAATCTGACCTTTCACTGCCTACCTCTTCAGCACTACTGTCTCAAAGTCCTGGTGCAAATGTCTCCTGCTCTTCTACCCCTTCTCCAATAGTGATAACTAGAGGCATTTTTTGTCCTTAGAGCTTCCCTCATACTTATCAGTACCCCACTTAACAAACGTATCTCTATTTTGTTTTTAGTTCTTTGCAAACTGATTACATCTCTCTTACTGGACTCTAAACTCCCCGAGGGTAAGAGCCCTGTCAGATGTATTTTTAATTCTTTCATCATCTATCACAGTTCTGGGAATGCCATAGATTCTCAATAAATATTCATTCAGTGAATAAATGAATAATTCACAAAATCATGGTCAGGAAAATATTTGTGGCTATTTGCCATTTTCAATAATGAAACCACAATAGCTATAAAATAGATCTGTTCTTAAGAAAAGTTGTAATTTCCTAAGCAGAGTGGATTCTTATTTTATGCTTGACAACTGCTCTCTCTCTTTCTCTCTCTCTCTCCCTCCCTCTCTCTTTCTCTCTCTTCCCTCTCTCTTTTGGTAATAGAGGTCAACCTCAGTTAGATTCAACTCAACTTATTAGTGCATGGCTTTTAGCCAAGAGCAATTCACATTTGCAGAAGTGTACTATCACATATGTCTTAATAACAGAAATGCTTTTTTAAATGTATGTGATGAGTCACATATGGTAGAAGAAATCTGTACATCTCTCAGGCCTGTTGTCACAGTGAATATTTGGAGATAATTGCTGTAGAACCTGAATATCCAAGTGAAAGTCTCTGTGACACATTAATGAGCCACAGTTTGAACATACTAACCAAGCTTTGATACAGGCATGATTCCAATAGACTGAGAAATACCCCAGCATCTCTTGCCCTGATAACTGATCTTAAGAATGTTCAATTTTGATTCTTACTCTCAACGGTAATATTTAATGTTTCAAGGTAAAGTCATTAGTGTATTCAGGTGTATTATGTGATTACATTCACTAAGCATAAATTTAATTTTTTTATATGGAGTATAATTAATGTGTACTACAATCTCCCTATGGTGATGAAAGAAACTTGTAACCATGAAGGTATTAAAAATAAACTGAATAAATAGATGAGAAATAGGGAGGGGAATTTCAACCTTTAGACAGGAAAATATACAAACTAGATGGATAATCATTTACCATCATTCAAATGAAAATGTACTTAGCCTTAGTTAGATCATGGGAAACAACAGAATTTTAGAAAATACATATACCTTTTGCAATATATCCATCTTCACACAACTTGGGAAACTAGCAGTATGCTCTAGCTATGTGTTCACTGGTTTATGAGGCATCACTGCCCTGTTAATGGATCTTATATCCATAAAAATTTTCAAAGATAGTGATTTAAGAGTGATATCTCTGCACTGAATGAGAATTACATGGTACGTCAGCCTCAGAAATTCCAAAACAAATGATTAGGGTTCAGTAAATACCTACTCAATGTTTTAAAGTGCAGGAAGAGAAAGGGCTGCTAGTTTAAGCTTTACAGTCATGGAAGATTTTAAATCTGTGCCATTTTCTAACTGACCAACTAGAGCAGGGGTCAGCAAAATTATCCAGTAAAGGGACACATAGTAAATATTTTTTGCTTTGTATGATCTCTGTTGCAACTATTCAACTCTGCTACTATAGCACAAAAGGAGCCACAGGCAGTATGTAAACAAATTAATGTAGCTGTGTGCCAATAAAACTTTTTTGTAAACACTGAAAGTTGAACTTCATATAATTTTCACATGTCACAAAATATTCTTCTTCTTTTGATTTTTTTTCTCAACCATCAACCAAATACTGCACATGAGGATGGCATCCAATCGCACATAAGATCATCTTCACCAATGTGTTCATACATTAACTATAAATGATGCCTCTAGACTTCTACTTTTCCAGCAATCCTGTATGCTTAAACAGTCAAATGTTAATTATTTTATTGTATCTTTATTGTTGAAGGTATTACAGATGTCCCTTTTTGACCCCGCTCCCTCCCCTTCCCCAGGCCTTCCCACACTATTGTCAATTCTTGCATAAAATATCAAGCCAGTAACTAATCAGAGGCAGAAGAGCTAGAATAAACCAGAACAACATGTGACTATTTTACATGTGGCATGATTCAAGAATAAGAGACTTAACAACTTGGTCAGTTAGAACACATGGGCCCTTCTGATCTGATACTCCACTAGTGTAGAGCCACCAGTCTCATTAAACATCCAGGCCAGGCTCCTGCAAGGACTGTTTTCTGGGATGTGTCTAATTTGTTTACTTGTTCATTCATTCAGAGTACATGTATTGAACTCTTATTCTATTTAGGGTCCCTGTGCACTATGTATAACTGAAATTCTCTGGCAGACAGCAGAAATGGAATGAGAATCACTATACATAAAACATTTTAAAACTCCACTTCTGCTCTGCTGTCAGGCTGTGTAATTGAGCCAGGCTCTGGAATTTCTGTCCCTGAGTTGAGATCTTGAAGAGACTTCTCTACTTAATGTGCTCCAATGATTGTGGCTAGGCAAGTGAGTTAGATATTGTGAGTCCCAGTGCAACAGGACACCCAAACTCACACTGAGAACAGTATCTTATTAAATTAGAAGATAATTCTAAGCCTCTACCAGATGACTGTGATGTAGGCTTATTACTAAGCAGATTGTCAAATATATTTAAAAGTATAAATCTCCCTATTGTATTACTAATTATTTGGCTCTTTTAGTTTTCCTGTTTCCCTTTTAGAATATTCCTTAAAGTGCTAGACATTAAAGTCACACTGTAAATTAATAAGAGCTCATAAAAATATAATTATCTGTAGGGTTAAATCCTCACAAGGAGCAGGGAGAAAACTAGTCCTACTTTCTAGCCACTAAAGTATGATCTAATGCAGCTCTACACACTAACAATGGGCAGTCTTATGTATGCCAAGATGGAGGTTGGGACTCACTTCCTATTGAGAGGGCTTGAACTTGGAGGTGTTTGTCCCATCGAGGGCCTATATTTATATTTACACGCCCCCAGCACTTGTCCCATTCCTTGTGATCTGGGGCACACATCTGCATGTGGATAGACCAAAGTGCAGTCAGACCAAAGGAAAGATCACCTATGGCTCACTCAGGGACTACAGTCCTGGCCTTGGCCTCATTAGCACCATGCTCTAATTCATGAAGCTCACCTGTTATGGACTCACAGGTGAGTCCATAACTTCTGGGCATAGATAGAAAAGAAATCAGGATGCAGAGAAGATTTAATCCACAACCGAACACCCATAGAAAAATGCAGCATCTAAAACTACTTCCAGAGGATGGTTACAGCATAATACATTTCTAGACAACAGATGTCCCAGAGGCTACAGAAGCCCAACAAGGAATATTCTGTGGCCTAATAAAAATTCAACTTGAAAACAAAGTATATCAAACCTTTTGGAAAAAGAATTAGAATTTACATTTAATGGTATGCTAAACACCACCCTAGTGACTTGAAAAAGTTAAATATTTTGCAAAACACAAGCAGCCTTCTTGTCATTGGCATTACCTGATTCATTCTCCCAGAAACTACTAAAAATAAATGCACTCCTCATTTCTACATCGGATACCCACTATAATGGAAGTTAGCTGAGATAAATTAACACATAGTTCCTAAGGATGTGATATTACCAGACCTATAGTAACCCAGCAAATATAGCAGATCTTCTCTAGGCCACATGACTAGGAGGACTGGTATGAAACATAACACTGCAATCAGATGTCACAAACCTTACTGACAAGACGTACACCCTTCTTAATCTGAAAGTCTCCCTTCTGGAAGAAACAGGATGTCTAAGATGTACTATATTTAAAAGACTGCCATGCACCTTGTTTATAATTTAAGAGTATACCATAGAATGCCTTAGAAATAATTGTTAGCTAGAAAAACTTTTAGTTAAATACAGCACATGAGCTTTTCATTAACAGAGTCATGAGGCCTTGATGCCAAGGTGCTGAACCTCCCCGTCATGGCTGGAAATCACTTGGCACATTTTCAAGCTATTTACATCTCTGTAATTGTTCCAAGATTTGCAATTAAAAATGTAAGCTTTTTAGCATGTGCAAAACCCAAAGACTCAAAGTACTATGCATTGAATATGGTTATAATAGTATTTGGAAACTACTCATGGATGGCACATACTAATTTTTGTAAACTGGGCACAACTTAGGGCACTTCGGGATAAAGACGACAGGAAAAAACAAAGGCCGGTCCTGAATTATTGGAGGTATTTTTCTTTGTGTGTGTGTTTTCTGTTGTTTTTAAATTGTCATGAATGGAGATTAACTCAAAATCCAAGGTCTCTTTTTTGACTTTATTTTTTCACATGCATGGAGTCCATTAAAATTAAAATTTCCAACTAATAAAAAAATAACTTACTTCACAGGATTATTCTTAGGTTTTGCCTTTTCAACAGCCTGTAAACAGAAGGAAAAATGCAATTAGAGAACATTAGCAAGCATAACCTTTGCAACTAGTTACCAAAACAATAAACAATATCAAATGTTCTTCAGAAAGATAAGGGGCTAGTTGAAGCCGGCTGCTGGAGATAAGCAGACTGTAGACACAGAAAGCAATTTTCCTCTCCCAGGTAACATGGTTACATGCCTAAGTACATCTTTCAGACAGGCAGGTATTGTCAGGGCTGCCTGGAAAGTTCAGCCGTGTCCATAGGAGTAGCACTTACATTCACAAGTGGATTCTCCTCTTCCAGCCTTTCATTCTAATCTTCCCCCATGTGGGCTTCCTTTGGTTTTTATGTCAGGAAAGGTGGTAGATGCAGAGGGTATGGTCATTGGCATATCTTGTGTTTTAAAGTCTGTGGTAGGGAGCCACTTATCCTGCATTACTACTGACACCTGGCTGCACCTGCATGGCTACAAAAAGGCTAAAGTATCATTTCTAAAATCATTTTTATTAGCAGACATTACAAGAAGGCAAGGGATGACCAAATGCTCAGATCATTGTCCTCCTGTGGAACCTTTAATACACCAAATCATTGAGATGAGAAAATCTCTGGGCCTCTTGGACTTCATTGCCTCAGACATGGAGCCTGGTTCCAGTTTATTGCTGAAGCCATTGATCTGTGCAAAGTCCATTTACCATTCATGAAAAGAGCTAGTGATCTTCACAGTATATTAGAAGAAACAACTCAGATCATCTGTCAGCAGCCTTCTGATTTCTATTTCCCTCTCCACAGGGATTGCACCTCTTTCAATACTTCTGGAATTAAAATGTTTCTAAGCAACACAGCTGGGGGTGCTGATGGTAGAATGGCTACAGTCTATCAAACTGTTTAAGCACCTGGAGGTTTTAGTGATGATTTTTTTTCATACTTTTGTAGCATAATTATGTAATCAGAACCAAACTTGTACTTGCCTAGACTCTTTGAGGCTATAGAAAAATATTTAATATGGGGAATACTAAAGCAGCAGTTTGACAACCTCAGGGTTCTTCAGATCCTTAAAAAAGTATCCAGTTGGAGACCTTTTTAATTGTTAATCTTGGACATGGGTGAGGGCTAAGAAAAGAAGAGCATACTGCTGTAAATTAGAAAGCAGAGGTAATAGCTTGTAACAGAGACGATTTATAATATAACATTGGACTTGTTTTGGATGACCAGTGCAGAAGCATGCTGAACCCTTCTATGCATAACAACAACTCAATACACCTTGAAATGATTTTTTTTTAAATAAAACACTTCCCAAGTTTAGACATTAGTGTTGGAGATCCAAGTCCTCCTCTATTAAGTCTCAGGTTCTACTGCTACATAAATACCCATTAATATTTGGACACTGGACTCTTTCTTTGTCTTTATATACAAAAACCATTTTCTCAACATCTGTACCTAAGGTTGAAATTGGAAAGTGGTAGAAAGTGAGAAAACTAGAGTGAGGTAACAGGTAAAAATGAGAAATATGTTTCTGGCTGACCCAAGTCATGTCTCACATGTACTTAGGATATTAATACCTATCCTGGTAAAGAATGTTGAAACGAAGAAGCTGATGCTGTTGAGGCCCAGTGCATGGGATTTGTGCACTGGCGGGAGGTGTGGCCTGTGGGGATTGGCCCAATGCGGGAGCGCTGCTCATCCAGATCAGCCGAGCGGATGTGGACCTGCCCTCTGAGCAGCTGCTCCCACTGTGGGAACGCACTGTCTGCATGGAGTGTCTGCCCCCTGGTGGTCAGTGTGCATCATAGCGACTGGTCGACTGGTTGTTCTGGTTGTTCCACCATTTGGTCACTGGGCTTTTGTTGTATAGGATTTTGATCATTCCAAATTAACAAATTAAACTTTATCACAGGTATATATGTATAGGGACAAAACATAGTATACATAGCATTTGGTACTATCAATGGTTTCAGGCATCCACTGGGGGTTTTAGAATGTAACCCCTCAGATAAGAGGGACTACTATACATTCATATTTATCCATATGCTTGTAGTAGAAAACACAGTAGTCTTTCACATGTGTTTCTCCTCACTCTCACACCACTATCACACTCAGAACACTTTTGATACCAGATGTATGAGGATTTTTTCCCTTACCAAGAAATTTTCTGCAACACCAGCTGAGAGTCCTACAATTTAACTCAATTCTAACACTATACTAGTATACCCGGGGATATCAGATCCTATAGGTTAAGTGCTCAGTCCCACTGAGTTGCCGGTTTCAGTACAAGCTGTCACCTGTACCTCAGACTTGTGGACTATAAATAAGAGGTTCCCATAGTCCCCTTCTCAGGTTCAAATACTTGTTTAGAGTGGGTCACAGAACTCAGGAAAACAGTTATTTGTGTTTACCAGTTTATTACAGGATATGGAAAAGGATACAGACGAATAGCCAGATGCCAGATGAAGAGGTATATAGTATGAAGTCTGGGGAGGGTCCCAAGCATAAGAACTTCTCTACCATTCCAGTTGTGGATGTGTTTGCCAACTTGAAAGCTCTCCAAACCCCATACTATCAGAAATTTTATGGAGGCTTACTAACATAAGAATTTAATTTTCAGCCCCTCTCCCCTCTCTAGAGAAGTGGGAAGGGGGAGAAATAGGGCTGAATGTTCCAAGCTTCTAACCATGGCTTGTTTTTCTGGTGAACAGCTCCCATCTAGAAGCCTACCAAGAGTTGCCTCATTAGGAAAAAAAAAAAAAAAAAAAGACATTCCTATCACCCAGGCATTTCCATGGGATTCAATATCTTGCATTAGCAACTTGGGTCCAGACCAAATATTAAAACAAAAGGTGCTCTTAATGTTCTTATCACTTAGGAAATTATGAGGGTTTTCAGAGCTCCATGCCAAGAAGAGGGGCAGAGACTAAAATATGCTTTGTTTTATCTTATAATACCAAATACTAACTGACACTGTGCCTCAGGGTTCTTACTGGCAAAATTAGGAAGCTGGAGTAAAGACTCTGCATGGTCATTTTAAAGTCTGGTATCCTATATTTTAAAACACACACAACTATTTAAGTATACAGTCATGCTTGCAGCACTTAACAACAGTTAAGTCAATGATGGCATCCTATCCTATATAATAAGAGAAAAACAGGTGCCAGCCCAGGGGACCTCAGGCCGTGCCCCTTGCCCTGGTGCCAGGCTAGGGGACCGGAGGCTGTGCCCCCCCACCCAGTGGGGCTTGACAAGGGTGGGACTGGCCAGGTCTGGATCTAGCCCAATGAGGGGGGGCCGGCTGGGTCTGGGTCTCATGCGATTTTGAGGCACACATGGGTGGGTGGGGACTTGGCTCTGGGTCCCAGGGTGCACCCCAGACTCTGACAGGAGTAAGATTTTCATATACATTTTACTAATTTTCTTTCATCTCTGACACTTCTATTATAGAGAAAGGGCAAATAGCAATATTAAAATATTTCCTCTAATTAATCCCCTTTTAATATGCACGAATTTTGTGCACTGGGTCACTAGTCCTATATAATAAAGAGCTAATATGCAAATGGTCATCACGCCCTCATGCCCTTGCACCCTTGCACCCTTGCACCCTTGCACCCTTGCACCCTTGCACTAGGACCAGGGCACCTGAGGCCGGGATGGGGGACCTGAGGCTATGCCCTGATCCCAGTGCTGGGGCCGTGGGACCTGAGGCTGTGCCCCTCACCCAGGCACTGGGGCTGGGATCCTGAGGCTGCGCCTCCTGCCTGGTGGGGCTTGATGGGGGGGTGGTAGTCGGGTCTGGGTTTCACGCGATTTCAAGGTGTGTGCGGATGAGCAGGGACTTGACTCTGAGTCCTGCGGCATGCCCCAGACTCTGACAGGAGGGAGATTTTCATATACATTTTACTAATTTTCTATCATCTCTGATACTTCTATTATAGAGAAAGGGCAAATAGCAATATTAAAATATTTCCTCTAATTAATTCCCTTTTAATGTGCATGAATTTTGTGCACCAGGACACTAGTAAGATTATAATTGAGCTGAAAAATTCTTATCCTCTAGTGACCTCATAGCCATTGTAACATTGTAGCACAACATATTACTCACATGTTTGTGGTGATGCTTGTTTAAACAAACCTACTGTGCTGCCAGTCATTTAAAAGAACAGTAATACAATCATGCACTGTACAGATACGTGATAATAATAATAGAGAATTATGTTACTGGGTTATGTATTTACTATATTATAGTTTTTTAACTATTTTTGAGTGTACTCTCTACTTATAAAAAAAAGCATTACTGTAAAACAGTATACTGTATTCTGCTCACAGCAGCCTTATACATACAGCATCTCTTGACTGCACCATTTTTCCTTGTGCTTGATTTAATATTGTGTTGTTTTGGTCATCATGGTCCTTAAACATTAGCACAATGAGGAAATCACCTAATGATGCATTTCCCCATTACTTGGCAATATATATATATATATATATATATATATATATATATATATATATATATTATATATATATTATATATGTATATATATATATATATATATATATATATATATATATACATATATGTATACAAACATGATTCAAGGTTTAATATGGAATCTGAATCCACCTCCATTAGGAAGAAACAAGATTTATTAACATGTTTTAAATGTTTATATCTAATATTCCAAAGGTCCCTATGAGATAATTCTGAGAAATACGTTGTTATCCCATGCATTTTGGGAGTGTCTGTTGCTTTTATCTGCCCATCCACTTGAATTTTGAATAGTTAACATTGGATTGGTAGCTAATCTCAAATGTGAACACCTCTTCTGTTATTTATAATGCGTATACTTATGCCCTTTGATTTTGCTAAATAAATACAAAAAAATAATATAGCTGCTTAATAATAAAACCGATTCTGTTTTCCATTAAAGTCAAGGCCCTGGTTGTTTGTAGCCTGCCTGGTAGCTTTTTCGGCAGGTGGAAGATATTCTGGGGACCGAGTAAAGCATTCCTTGTGCC